TTGTTTTTCTACACCGTCCGAGCCTATCATTTATGTAGGTGAATAATCTTAGCAATATGATAATATAATTGATTATATTCATATTGATTACTTTGATTTTGTTGTATTATTTATATTGTTGAGATGTGCGACATATATGCATGTCTGTATTGTATATGTGGGTTTTTAAGGTTTTACCTTAATTACTTAAATCAATGATACTTTTCAAATACAAATGTTTTTATTTATATTATTAATGTACAGTAGCAATAATATTAACTATTGTATTAATTAATTTTATTAATAAACTTATTTTAATTTAATACTTTTTCTTTGCTTCTTAAATATCTTTTCAATTGCTTAAGTACTTACGTATCCAGAACCGTATTCACAACAAAAAGGGGTCCTAAATTAATTTCTTTAAACTAGACGATCACGTGTTTTGGCTAAAGGTAGTTTTTCTGTGGTTTTAATATTCTTTTTAATTATTAACGTGTGTTTCCTATGCCCCGTTCGTTACAAATTGGTGCCGTGACCAGGATTTGATTTAGCTAATTTTGTTTTTTGTTCTTTATAATTCATTTCTAATTAATGTCAAATAACCAGGATTCGTTTGATTTAATATTGTTTTTATTTTTGTTGATTTGTTCTTGCTAATTTATTCCTAATGACTAGGATTTATTTTATTTGGTATTGGATTTAATTAATATTGGTTTTATTTTGTTTAACCGTTTTTCTTTTGCATGATTTATTTAACCTGAATATTTGCATGTTATAATTATGAATTGACTTTGTTATGTTTTGCTATGATTTGCTATGTTATTTTATTTTTTTGCTATGTTATGTTATGAGTTGTTATGTTATGTTATGATTTGCTATATTATGTTATGTTATTTTTTGCTATGTGTTATGTTTGCTATGTCTTGTTACGTTTGTTATTTTTTGCTATGTGTTATGTTTTGCTATGTTATGTTATGTTATATTATAAAATGCTTATTAATGCTATGTTATGTCTTGCTATCTTGTGTTATTTTTTGTTATGTCCGGCTCACTAAAAATTAATACCCTTTTCTAGGATTTTGTATTGTTCATTTAATTTTTTATTTTTGTATTCGTGTTTCCGTCACTTGATGTCAGGTGATTAGAAGTTTGTCTATTTATTTTAGTTGTATTTTGTATTCCTTGTGTTACCATGTTTCAAGGGTGTTAAAAGTTCTTTTTGTTTATCTTGTAGCATTAAATTTAACTTTTAATGCAACAATATTTTTTTAGTTTAAATATTTAGATAAGGCAGTTGAAGTGTATTAGTTTTATTCATAAAATTTATTTAACAGGGTAATGTTGGTTGCATATATTGGGTTATAATTTAAATATTTAATCTATTTTTAGAATCATTGTTTTTATATTTTAATACTTTTCAATAATTTACATTTATTAAATAAATCCTTAATTAATTGTAATTTTTGGAAAAGCCTGAAATAAATATAGCATTGGTAGGGTTAATCTAAAAATAATTCATAAGTAATTTACCATGTAATTATATTTATTTTAAAATACATTTAATTGTGTTTTGTCAATTTTGTGCGTTAGGTTTTTATTTCCATTTATGTTTCCAAAAATCCAATTGTTCTTATCAGGGAAGTAAGTCTTCACACTCCATTCATTATCTAAAAAAAAAACAAATAATTAATAATTAATTTACATTATTAAAATACTTACCTTCTATTATTTCTTTTTAAATATTTGGCGCCCTTTATATGTTTATAATTTCCTTATGCGCACCGAATTACATAGTATTTCCGGGTTGCGATGAGCATGAAAGAATTACGAGGAGAAACGTTTTAGGCACGGTGTCGTGCAGACGTTTTAATTGTCGTTTTAAGTTTTTTGATCTTTAAACATAATTCAAGTTCTATAAGTGCGTTAGTATTGCCAGAAAAGATCTGTAAGTCTAAATAGTTTTTATTTTAGCCAAATATTTATTTTAATTTTTTCTATAGGGCTTCTTCCATTCTTTACTTTTTTGAGTATTGCTCTTTTATTTGTTCGTTTACACAATGAAAGATTCTTCATTATTTTACGTGAGATTTCATCTTACGTTCCCCATATCACCATTCGTTTGGGTTGAAGAAACAAGTGGTTCTCCGTGCCTCCGGTTGATGGATTCTCCACCGGCAAGCTGGTGAGAAGATTTCAAGATTGCAAATTTTCAAACGGGACGAAACTGGGACTACCTGAGTCAAGAACTCCAGAATTCCACGAAATAAGAACTCGAAGTTCAAGAATTTCACCGGTGCACCAAGATTGAAACTGAAAATCTGGAGCTACAGGACCTCAGAACAACCCAAGCGAGTCAACACCTATCTGGTATTTTTTATTGTTTTTTTTTACTTTATTTTAATAAAAACAATTGGTGCCCAACTCGATCTTATTTTTTTTCAACCTCAATAATTTAAAATCCACGAACCCTGCTCTCTAATCACCCACTGAGTGTCCGTGAGCATATGGGCCTTTTTTAGGTTACAATCTCTTGTTTCGCCAAATTGATGATATCGGTTGATTTTGGTCCTGTTGACAGATTAATGATTTTCGCACAGTGTGGTCAAATAATTTTTGTTTATCTGTGCTTATTTTTTTTTCATTTTCATAAAATGCAGAATTCCGACTATCCTTATTTTATTTTCAGGCATCTTAATAGTTTTCTTTTCTAGTACCTTCTTGTTAATAATTTTGTCTGGGTTACTACAACATTTGCTGTGCTTTTCAGCACAAATTGTTGCTGCTGACTGGAGGATACGTTCTTAAAAAGTACTGAGCATTTGATTAAATATATTTTTGTATTATGTTATGATTTTACTGCTTTTCTTATTTTTATTTTTATGCAACCACTTTTATTAAATGACGACCCAGGAATATTTGATGACATAATTACCAAATGTGAAATAATTTTGGAATGGTCTAAACCGGAATTACTGGATAATGAAAACTTCAACTGCTATTGATAGGACTGTCATGATGATAATAATTTTGGCGATAATCAAGGATCATTTAATTTCGATCAGGTGTGTCATGTTTATTTTTATTTTATATTTTATTATTAATTTTTGTTTTGTAATTTTTTCCTTATGTACCGACGTTAATTAACATAATAACATTGTAAACATTATTAACCATTAACATGTTACGTTGACGTTTGACTTTACATTTAATCTATTTTATATTTTTTGACAATGTTTAGTTATTTTATTTTCTGATTAGTCTTTCTTTTATTTTTTTTTGTATTTTAAATTTATTTGATGGGAGCCATGATATACCTATGTGATGACGTATAAATGTGCACTCAGCCCAAAGGACCAGAAGCGAGCAATATAACCAATATAATATGGTGGACAGGGTCGTATTTAGGTTTAGTTACATAGGTTTAGGGATGTTAAAAGTTTGACAAGCCTCCTTATGTCATTTGACAACCTTTCAAAGGGGCGTCTGTAATGGGACGATATATGGGGCAGTTAATTTTTAACATTTCTTAATTTATTATTTTAATACTCTACGAAATATTAGACTAGTTCTAAATATTTACCTTAAAATTGTATAAACTGTTTATTAGGAACTTACCATTTATAAGCATTTTGTTTAGAGTATGTAATTTATTAGGGCAATATTTAACCTAGAGACCCTAAGAGTTATTGTCGTTTCAACACGTGATAAAAATAGTATATAGTCCGATTGACTTAGAATGATATTTGTAAATAACTAATGGTAGACCTACGTGTTAATGTCTTTAAGCATCCCATGATGCACTAGGGAGACTTACCAAAACCGCACGTATGTCTGAGCCATATCGGTACAAAGAGGAGGTTCTTACGTTCCAAATGAACTATATCCATAGGCCTGTTTGGCTTTAATAAAATAAACATAAAAAGAGCGTGTTATAAACTTAGAGAGGACAGTATTTTTTGAGACAGTTACGTTTTACTATTTGAGGGGATTAGATGAATTAGTTAATTTGTAAGGGAGTGAATTTAACCAATAATACATTGTTTTGATATAAATTCAGTTTTTGTGAAAGTGTAGTTTATTTAAATAGGTATGTCTTTTCTATATTTAGTTATTATAATCTGAGGTCACAAATATCATAATGAGTGGTTAATTATTTAATATTTAATTTAAACTATATTTTATTATTATTATTTCAACTTGTTCTTTGTGAGAGAAGGAATAAGCTGAATTGTTTTATCTTAATGGTTGTTGTGGGACAAACCCAAATTACAAATTTATTATAATCAGTACTTTATGTTTTGGCCAAAGGTAGTTTTTCTGTAGTTTTAATATTCTTTTTAATTATTAACGTGTGCCCCCCATGCCCCGTTCGTTACAAACCACAAAAAATTAAACACAAAAATCATGATGGTGATGTTTATTGCACACACTCTACAACTTGAATAAAATAAACCATTAAAACTAACCGCTTATATACATTAAAAACTAATGACTAAGCACATTAACTATTGCATTCATCAATAAATGCTTTTTTTATAACTTCCTAAATAAATTGAATTATCAAGAACAACGGTGGCATCAGAGTCGTCAGAGTCCGAGTCCATTGTTGCAAAAATGTATGCTTTAGTTAGGGTGTTAAACTTGATTTTTCAATTAACCTTTCTAAATCCTTTTTAACCAACTTTACACATCCCTGTGGTGTTTTTCTTTTTCTATGAAGTAGGCGGGTTAGTTCATAGTGGAGAATTGATGATCTAAATATGGAACTTCTTAATCTTTCATGTCCAATCTACTATCATCAACCACATTAACCATTGTATTCGCTAAGCGAGGTATTTATCAAATTAATTCTTTTGGTTGTTGTTGTTGTTTGTCCAATTTTTCCAAAAAAAACTCTATTCAACTTGTTTTCTTGAATCTGTAACAATATTTAAATAAATAAAACAATAACAATATTTATAAAAAACTTACAAATACACGTGTGTGTGTGGTGTATGCACTAGTAAGTAAGACCACAAAGACTAGTCGTTATAACCCCAGGGAACTGTATCAGTCTTTCGGTAATAAACAATTCTTTTATCATCAAAAGGGCTTAAAGCAATTTTTTCTTGCTGGATTGTAAATACCTTATGCCGCAAGGTTACAATGGAATTTTGTATTACAGGTAGAGTTTTAAAATGAAAGAGTGTATTAAAATAATCCTCAAAAGTAATGCTTTTAACTGCTGATCTTTGAATCCCTTTAGCCTTTTTAACAAGACCAAAGTTTAAAATAAAACATTCAATATCTTTCGATGAATATTCAGCTTTTCGCAATTTTTCCACTTGCTGTTGCATTTCTTCATCGCTTTTCCTTACCTTCAACGAGTACATTTTTGAGCGTAGTCCAATAAATTCAGTCATTAGACTTCCGTTATTTTCATCCTTCATCAAACCCATAACTTTTTTATTTTTTTTTAAGGTATTTGATAGATATTATCAGGAGGATAATCGGATGTATCAAATTTATCAATATCTTCACTTATACAAGCATAAATATCACCAACGAAAAATTGATAAATCAAACTGTCAGTATCGGTATACAGTAACTTTGCACTATCACCAAATTTAGCCTTAATGTAGTTGTAGTGAAAATCATATAAAAAGGTTTTTGATATATCCAAAATTGTCATACCTGCATAAATTGGTTTGTTAAAATTAATTTTAAGCTTTTTCGACAAGTATCATGTTTTCATCGAAAATTTTACAACTATGAAATGTTGGTTGAGAAATATAATAGTTGGCACCAAATTGCCCTGGCCACTTGGTAACCAATTTCACAGTTCTATATTTCTTTACGTTTTTAATTGTTTTGCCAAAAACTGCGTTATTTAATAATTTGTATAATTTTTTTTTGAATTCATCATCAGCAGCCTTTCGTAATTCAGTATTTAAATCTATATATTTTTTTAACCAAGTCGATTGATTAAACTTTAAACATCTATGAATTTTATCCACTTTCACTCCTAATTGTAGAGCTTGTTTTAAATTTAAATAGTGAATTACATAGTTCTTTTCATAAAAAGTAGTCAATAATTTGGGATTTTTTAAGTCGGATGAAATTGGTGGTACCAAATGCTCAGGACAAAGAGATAAATCTTTACGAGTTTCAAAAAGTTCATGGGGGTATCAAAGATCAACCTCAAAAATTCGCTAGACTTGGAAATTTTAAATATGTTTATGTCATCATTATCAACATCTAACCATTGAAAACACCCAGTATGTAGGGCAAAGCTCATAGCGGCCCCGTAAAGGTTATTTACGTCATAATACATTAGATAAGATTGAGGTTCATTGGTATTATAATCAGTACCCATATATTTATTATTTGCTTTAGCGTAGCGATTGGAACATTGTGAAATACCACCCCGTATACCTCTTTCAATAAAATTAACCATATCCATGTCAGTCAAGAGTTCCAAACAAACGTTAGTAACCTTAAGCATGGCATCAAGGGCCAAACCAGGGGCGGTTAGATAGTGAAGCGCGTCCAACTTGTAAGTTTCTAAACAAGACTTTCGAAAATTTTCAAAAATATCAGCCAAAAGTAAAACATCAGTTTTCAAATACAATTCAGCATATTGTTGTATATTTTTACACTCAAATTCTCGCCATACATTAAGGGCGTGATTGTACTCGGGAAATGTCTTCATTTGTTATTTTACTAAAAAATATTTCTTTTGGTGGTAGACAAGTGTCCTGTAATTTCTCCCAACTATTAAGGTACTCGTAGGGAAATACCCCCTTTCTTGTAACCAGCTTAAACTGCTCATTATCCAAATAAATTTTTTTAGTATTCAACTTTTCAGATTCCTTCAGATACAAAGGTAACTTGTCAATGCTACTAGCCATAAATCTAAACGAATCCACAAGTCGCAAGTTAACTTTGGTATATTTAATAAATTTTGTAAAAGAAATATACCTCCCCATATTGATTGGTAATAAATTCATGTAACCCTCTACCTTGGTACTAAGAGCTTTAATTAGAAAATGACTATCGTATCCACTCAAGTTGTGAAAAATTACAGGTATAGCGTGAGATTTTTTAAATTTTAAGTTACAAGAGTTGTGAGCCGCACCCCGAAATAGTCCAGTAAAATGATCGTGGTCCCTAACCTTTTTTTCAGCATGGTTATCAAACCCTTTTCCACAGCAAATGCACTTTGTTGCTAAATAAAAATTTTCCTTTTTATCTTTTGGTGACAACGTTTGCATTTGAACAGGATTTGATAGCAAATAGTCAACACGTTTAGCAATCTTTTCGAGCTCATAAACAAACCAGTCCACACAATTTTTACCAGTAAATATTTTAAATTTAGAAAGGTTATCATCATATAAACATTTTAGATAGTAGGCAATACAAAATGCTTCATGTTTTTGAATTTTTTTACTCTTACAACCAATAATATTATTATCCTTGTAATCAACCAAAATACTTTCAATATCAGCATAAACAACATAGGGAACCATTAGTTGATTTTTATAATTTTTAAAACGTAAAAATTTAGTTTCCTCAGTGGGAAGTTCAACTTTTGCATCATTCAACATTTTACAAGTATCCAAATGTTTTTTTCAAAACGGCTTTAGTTAGGAAATGGTGAAGGCATCGTTCACAATACCATTTCCCATTTCTAACATTACCCACTTGACTATTGAGTAGTCGAGATAAATTTTTAATCCATGCAAAATGATAATTAACAACTACATACAAGGTTCATTGCTCATAAGGATTTGATCATTTAAAGTTGAAATTAAAAGATTAATTCTTGGTGAATAATCAAATTTACTTAGACATAATGGTACAATTTCATCATCATCATCAATGGTTTAAACGTTAATAGATAGTTTGTTCATGAGTTAAAATTTTGGAATATCTTTTAGAGCAATTGATTTGGATAAGATGATAAACGTGTTGAATGTTCAGTAACTGGAAATAATGCAGCAACTACTGAATATAAAAAACAATACTTTTTCGACTTTGCAACAAAAGCTGGTAGGGAAATGTATGTAGAAACGCCCGGTTTAATGGGGTTATAATGTTTAATATTAACCTTTCAATGTAAAATTTTATACAAACTCCAACCGCTATCTCTCTCCTGAAACTCGCTCAATTTTAATACAATTCTATCAACAACAAATTCTTTTAACCAATCTTTCAATTTTGTATTAAAATTAATAATTTCATTTTTAGTTTGAAAAAATTTAACAGAAGTTTCATCATTTTGAGGTTTTATAAACAACCCAGCAAAAACTACATTAACTTTCAACATTGACTGATTCAATTCCCCTTTAATTTTTATATTAAAACTACGAAATGCTTGTTGTAAAAATACCCTGGGGTCTTTAATTCCTAAATTGCTAATAATACCAGTACGAATTCTACTATTAAAACAGGATTCAACATCCTGCCATTTAATTTGTGAAAATTTTCTACCTAAAGCACCACAACGTACAACATTTGCATTGCTTTTTTAAAAAATTTCCAAATAATGTTTTAACAAAGCCAAGTTGGATTCAATTTTTAAAAAGTTTCCCACACATTCGCTTTTATTATTAATGGCTCTTTTTAAAATTAAAATAGTTTTTTTTAATGCTTAATAAAACATTCATAATCATCCTTTGTCTTACATAGTCTACTTACTTGTTCACATTTAGTCACAGCCTCTTTTGAAATATCAATGGTTTGAACATTCTTAAACTTGTTTTAACCCTAGAACCACAACGTGAAATTTGAGTTGCATTACTCACAACGTGGCGTCGTATACGACCGGCAAAAATAAACCCATATATTGTTTAAAATAAGGCAATTAAAAATTCTGATTGTCATTTCATAAAGTTTTATTCATAAATAAAAAGAAAGTATAGCAAAAAAATTTTTTTAATTAAAATAAAGATAACAAAAAATAAACAACTATGACACAAATGAAAGAAAATCCCAATTTTTAATAAAATAAACATAATAATACTAAAACATAATAATAATTAATTAATTTAAGAAGTTTGTCCCAAAATAAATATTATTTGCAATCCATACAAATAGAAAAGCGATGTTCAGCGCAAACACTTTTATTGCAATGTTCACATTTATTTTATGTTTCGAAAATCTTACACAGTTCCTACTTCGGTACAACACTTTTCATTAATAATTAAGAAGTTACTGAAAAGTGTAACACAGTACAAAAATTGATGCGTGCGTAATCTAAGATTTTATATTTCAATGGTCACCGACGACGCCACGCTGTGGTTATAGGGTTAAGAGACTTAATTTAACTATAAACAGACTTGGTTTATATACTATACTAATTTTAATTAGTTTAAGCTTGCATGTGTGTTTTTTCACCTTTTTAAACTTTGTTATTTAATTATGCAAGCTATTCAATTTTAATTAGTTTTATTGTGTACAAGCTCAGTAAGTATTTTTAAAATTTGTTTACTTATTTTATTTAAATTTTTAATTTTGTCTATAGACATGGTTTAAAGGAATTAAAGAAAAATGATGATAAAGTTTTTATAAGTTTATCCTATACACCGAAAGCTGCAACACCAAAGAAAAAATTTGGAAACCTACCACTTAAATATATGAGGGTAAAGATTGAAAACGAGTCGGAATTTAAAATCTTATAAAAAGGTTGTGCGGAGATGGCGCTTCAATTTGGTTGATGAAGATCCCGACGAAAATCTTAATCGTTTAGAGGCTGGTCCCTCCTCATCCATACCATACCAAAGTATTTACCTCCTCCACCCCCTCCAATGATTGAATTTGCTGCTGAAGATAGTGAAGAAGATGATCATTTTAGCCAATCTCAAAGATGGTAAAATGTATTTAAAAAAAAATGTAATTTAATGTATACCTTACTAAAACTATTCTAAACAGGATAAAGTGATTAGTTGAGTTTAAACAGTAGTTATAGCAACAACAGTACGTGTGTGGTAAAATGAGTTATAATTTTACTTTTTCTGGACGTGAATCCATTTTACGATTAAAACTGTATCCACCGATAATTCTAAACAAAGATGAAGAATAAGAATTGGGTTTAATTAATTTTGCTACCTATCACACAATTGCAAATGTTGATGAGACAAACAACTTGTTTCATTTTGAAAATAGAGAATTTAAGATACCAGTAGAAACCTATGAAGTTGAAGATTTGGCTGCTTTTCTACATGAATACGTTTCCAAAGAAACTTTTTTGAAAAACTCTAAATCTTTTATTTTTCCTCATTCAAAAACACAACAACAACAACAACCAACACAAAAGTCTGTTTTTAGCTCTAAAAGTAAACCGTAATACTATGAGATGTGAGATAAAATCAACTGGAACTAAATACTTTGACAAGGACCGTTCGATAGGTAGTCTTTTAGGATTTAAAAGAGAAACATTAAAATCAAATACAAAATA